GTCTACAACTAAATTCCCGAAAAACCAAAAATTTAACAGAAAAATAACTTTAAAAAATTCATCTCCATAAGAATTAAGAAGTGAATGACAAAAAATCAAAAAACCAATTTACTCAAAAAATGTTTTGCCATAGTATGATTGTCTGAGTACATTTATGCCATAAACTTGGCAAAATCGTATGCCATCATCCAAAAATCTGCCATAAACATGGAAAACTCGTCTCCCATCATCCAAAAATATGGAAAGTTGATTTTTTAAATCATGAAATCAGGAAATTGAAATTTGAAATAGAAGTCCAAAAATCAACAAATCGAATGTCAAAACTAAAAAAATAGAGGAATGAATGAAAATTCAGAAAAATAAATTTCAAAGCCAAAAATTCGAATAATTGGAGGAGAAAGAGGAGGAGGATGAGGAAGAAGAAGAAGAAACCTGGCCAAATGGCGGCGTGCGCATGGTGGAGTCGTCGACGACGTCAGCGGCTAGGGATGAAGACGGTGATGAAATTGACTTGACACGCAAGGCAGAAGAAATCAATCGATCTGCTGAGTACGGAGAAGAAGAAAAGAGATGATAGTGCAAGGGAGAGAAGCAATCGGTCGATCTGTTTTGCTGTGCGATGGAGAGAAGAAAAGGATAGATTTGTTTAGGCAGTGTGGATCAATCGGTTAACAAAGTAGGGGCACTAATGGAATGAGAAATTCCTTATGTTTTAATTAGGAGTAAATTAGTCGTATTTGAGAATAAAAACATACATGGTTCTCTTTAGGATTTTCTCCCATCTTTTAGTCCCATATGAGGTAATTACTATTCAAATAATAATTGCGTGGTGATTTTTGATAAAAAAACTCTGTTTTTCTAAATGGCAAAACCATGAGGGCAGTTCTTCTTCGGGCTTCAAGTAGCGGAAGTCTTTATCATATTCGCGCCATTCTCCATCCTATCTCCACCTTCGACATTAGTCTTGTGTTTGACATCTAGACCTCTCTACTGGTAGTCTGGTACCGCCGATTGGTTCCTATAATTGTGACAGCACAGTAATAAATCGATAGTTGAGATGGTTAATAGAAGACCAACAATAGTTAGGATTATTATTTTCAAATTTTCATATTTTAAACAATTGTTTGGCAATTTTAGCAGTTGGGAAATAGTTGTTTGGGTGCCAAAGACATATATGGACATGTGTATATATTTATTAGGTGTGGTTGTCATAAATCATAACAGCTATAACGTAACTACTTATTAAATAAAAAAATTGATATAGTTGGGGATGACGAATAGTCAAGATAACCCAAATTGGATTGGATAAATGCATATTGGTAGCAAATATTGCAATTGTTATTATGTTCTTGTTGGAATGAAATTCTAAACTTGTTTAGTGCCACCTATTTTCATCTTGCCAGTCTTTTTTTAATGAAACATGTAACTTCTTGTTTCGCGAACTGAAACATGTAACTTCTTGTGTAGTAATTAAAATAAGTAAGATTGAAATTGTTTTTGTGACTGAATTGGCTAAAGTCGATGTAGATAACCATTTTAATTAGTTACTAGTGCGTGTACCCGTGCAGTGCATGGTAAAATATGTGCGTAAAGTTTTTCTTAAAATTGTAGGACGGTGAATTGTTTGTGAGTTTGTCGACCATTGTTTAAAAGAGAATTCAATTAAACTATGGATAGAGCTGTCAAACTGAGTCAAAGTCCATAGGGCTAGCCCGTTTTACCCCATTTCATGATGGGTTAGAGTTATCATTTTTTATCCCGATGAACTCATTGGTTTCGTGGTTCATCATACACGCGTTGCGGATTAAGTGGGCTGACGACACATGCAGGTTGCGAGTTGTCCAAAATACAATATTTATGTTTGAGTTTCATTGTCTTCAATATTAATTGTTTACTACCAAAATTCTTTTCAAAGATACTTATTAATTTACAACGTTTTGTTGAACAAGGTTAATAAAAGAAAAGTGAGAACCTTAAAGTTGTAAGCTATGTAAAGATGATGATAGTAACTATCTATTTATAAATGGTTATATGTTGAAGAAGGTTTGTTTATGTGAAGTTTGGGAAGTTGAATAGATTTCGTTCTACCCTTTCAAATGCTTATAAACGTTGAATATGTACAAAAAATGATGACACCCATCTCTGAGGGGGCCCTAGAAGCGGTAAGACACTTATAGAAAGATGTAAGTTGAGCTTTGATTACAATGTGATAGAAAGAGAGTATGTTCCATCTCTTCTTTGTGGCATCCTCTTCCTATGAGGTGAGCTACACCATATTTTTTTTATTATAAAAGTGAAGTTTTGGAAGTTGAGCAACTTTTCATTTACGGTGACAACATATGTCATCTTTTTTCTACAAAGATGTTGGCACATGTCAATAATCCCTTCAAAGAGTTATTCAAGACTTGACTTTATTATATTATATAGATATATAGATATAGATAAATATAGCTATAGATTTACATATAATTTTTTATTTAATTAATAAATTATATTTTATAAATATTATTTTTCTGTAATTTTTCATTAATTTTAATTCATTGAGCTGATTGGAGTGTTATCAAACAACCGCAAATTATACCGTACACCCAGATGTACAGTTCTCACTTGTACATCCGGGCATTTTTGTAATTGTTTCTAATTTGCAGTGCTGTAGTTCTCACTTGTATTTTCCGGCCGCATCAGTACTCTACGTATTACTTCTCCTGCGCTGAATCCGCTGGTCGTGAGTAGGCTGGTCCAATTGCTATTGAATTGTTCAATTCGTTTCTTCTTTCTTTGTTTGTATTCCTCCTTTCATTTTTGTTTTGTTTTGTTTTTTTAGCAACCTTCTACTTTAATGTTATATTCAATTAAATATTTTCTTTCTCCAATCAAACTTCCAACTTAAGTTTTTTTATATATGTATTATAAAATACGTAGTATTTTAGATATTACTAGGTAAAATTTATTTTCCTATTTTTAATTTAAGATGAATATTTATTACTATGTAGTTTATTAAATATTGTGTGTTAATCACTAACATGAGTTTTGTAAAATGAGTAAAACATCATAAAAAGAACTTGATTCTATTTGTAATTTGAGAACGAAAGACTATAAATTATTTTAATATAGATTACTATATTTGTCATTATATATATATGCACAAATGAACATTTGAACACATTAAATAATTCAAACGAGCTTTTGAATTTTTCGATACTCATTTTGTAAGTTACATATGTTTATTTGATATTGATTTTATGACATTTTTCGACAAAATGTCATACTAATTCACATTTGAAAAGTATCATATTAGATTCGCATAAGAGTTATATTATATGAATGAGAGCAAAGGTCACAATGGTTAGGTTTCTAATACTCAACAATATAAGTTGAATGCTCATTAAAAGTGTTTTAATGCTCACAATAAATCTGATGCACATTAAAATTTAAATAATATTCATTTAACAGAAACCACGATTTTCATACCAATAGCGGAGGTTTGATGCTCAAATAAAATGTTGTGATATTCAATTAACAAACCTTACAATTTTCATATCAATGTGCAATTTGTAAGTTTTGTATGCTCATTTTGTACTGATGTTATGCTCATTTTTAAAATGTCATGTCAATGCATATTTCAAAAATATCATATTACATTAGTCTCGCATATTGAAATTAATAGGGTGAATTATAGATACAATTCAATAAGTTTTTATAAAAGAAAAAATAAGAAAAAGAAAAAGAATTAGAAGATATGAAGCAGAGATCATGATATTCATTGTTAGTCTCTTAATACTCAATAAAATAGATCAGATACTCATTTTTTTATATATATTACAGTGTCCATTCTGTTAAAACTTGTTGAGCTTTATTGTTAAGAAAGATTTATTCTAAGTTATTTGTGATGAATATATTACATGTGTGAGTTATAGAAATGAGTTTTTTGTTATACATATATAAGCGTAACTTTCAAAGAAATGAATACTAGTATATCATTATAAAATGAGTTCAAAATAATGAGTTTTATGGTATACGCAAATGAGTATAATATTAACACGGAATGTACATCGATATAACGTTTTAAGATAAAAATTATTACCATTGACTATTCAATTAAGATGTTTTGATGTTCAATAGGTTTTGAAAATTTTATGCTCAATTGAAGAGTTCCATTGTTCAATAAAGGAGACTTGATGCTCAATTGAAGAGTTCCATTGTTCAATAAAGGAGACTTGATGCTCAATGAAAATGTCTTGTTGCATATTTCAAAAGTTTAAAATTAAAATAGATTTGTGTATTGGAATCCATAGGAGTTTATACGTAGTAAATTGTTAATAATGAATCGATTATATGTGCATGTCATTGAAATGAACTTTATGTTAAACTCAAACGGATATAATGCTTAAAAGAAATGAGCATACACAAATGAATATTTGAGCACATTAGAGATTTTAACGAGTTTTTGAATTTTGGAATGCTCATTTTGTAAGTTATGTAATTGATTCGGTACTGATGTTATGTTCATTTTAAAATGTCATATCAATGACGACGAAACTCACGCGATTAGATTGGAGCTTGCTCACATAATTTTAATGCTCAAAAATAGAAAACACAATACTCAATAAAGATGTCTTGATACTCAAATGTGCTTTTGATTTTTTTTTTATTTAATTGAAAAGTTCCAATGCTCAATACACATAGTCTCTGATAGATAATATTAATAAGTAGATAATATTTCCTCTTAATGTATTTAATTAATATTATCACTTAGTAGTTTGAACTACCCTATTATAGTGGATCGGTCCCTTACGTAGTGGATCACAGTACCAACTTTAGCTTGTATAAATACTAGCTTGTACACTCTGTAAATCAATCAACACAGTTATATATACAAAGTTTTAATCCTGAGTTTGCGTATTCATATTGCTCACGTATAAACCATTCTTTATGGTATCAGAGCCGGCAGTAAAGTTACTGTCTTGATCCTTGCGTCCTGCTTAACCAAAGTTAGAAAATCCCACCCTCCATTCCAGCCAAATGTCTTCCTCAATCTCTCTTGATTCAGCATCTACCCAACAACTCATATCCCTCAATGCTTCCTCTCAAATCCCTCTGAAACTCTCACAAGACGGCTCTAACTACTCTTCATGGAAGGCCCAAATCACTAATTTATTCTTTGGATACGATCTCCTAGGATTTGTGGATGGAAGCAATCAGAAACCAGACAAATCCTCACCTACATATCATTTCTGGACTAGGCAAGATCGGCTTGTCCTACTTGCTATTCAATCCACCGTATCAAATACGGTCAGTCCAATTATCAACAGCTGCACCTCTTCTGCTGATGCATGGCAGAAGTTAGAATCTAGCTTTGCAAACAAGTCCACAACCCGTATGCTCTCTCTACTCAACAGCCTTGCTACAACTAAAAAGGCTGGAAAACCAGTGATGGAATATTTCACCATCATGCGTGGCTTCATAGATGATTTGATTACCATCAATCATCCTCCTTCCGATGGACAAATCATGTCCTATATCCTATCTGGTTTTGGTTCAGAATACAAAGAAATTGTTGGAGCCCTACGAGTGCAGCGTGTTCCTCTATCTTTTGAGGATCTCCGTGATCATTTTCTTCATGCCGAAATGCTGGCCGGAGACACTACTGAAACACCTATCACAGCCAATTATACTCAGCGTCGGAACTATAACAATAACTATCACGGTCGCGGTGACAATAGTAACCGAGGTCGTGGTGGTCGAGGCCACCCACGTCAGTCTGGCAGCTCTTCCTCTTCTCAACAATCTTATCGGCATGGTGATTCTCATACGGCCTTCTCCGGATCTCCTTCTCAGCGCCCAATTTGTCAATTATGTGACAAAAGTGGTCACACCGCCAGACAATGCCACTCCAGAGGTGTGTTTTCTCCAACTGCACATGTGGCAGATAGCCTACCTGATTCCGGTAACAATCAAAATTGGCTATTGGACACGGGTGCCACGCATCATATAACCTCCGACTTAAACAATTTGGCTATTCATTCCGACTATAATGGCAATGACTCAGTTCTCATGGGAAATGGTAATGGTATTCCAATTTCTCATATTGGATCCACCGGTATTGTTTCATCTGATAAAAAATTTACACTTAATAATGTTTTATGTGCACCTCTTATTCGTCGTAACCTTATTTCTGTTAATCAATTCTGCAAACAAAATAACACCTCCATTGAATTCTTACCTGATTCTTTTATTGTGAAGGATCTAAAGACCGGGGTATTCTTGGCCCGAGGCCAGAGTAACAACAATCTCTACACATGGCCCTTCCCCTCTCCACCATTAGCAGCCACAGCCACCACCCACTTATGGCATCAAAGGCTTGGTCATCCCAATTCTACTGTTCAGCGTCATATTCTCTCCACAAATAAATTACAATGCTCTCCCGAAAAATCAGTTTGCTCTCCTTGTCTTCAAGCAAAAAGTCATAAACTACCATTTCATGTTTCTTCAATAAATTGTACTAGGCCATTTGAATTTATTTATTCTGATGTATGGGGGCCACCTCCTATTTCTGCCATTAATAATACCAAATATTACGTAATCTTTGTTGACTATTACACAAAATATTCTTGGCTCTATTCCCTCAAGCATAAATCTGATGTGTACTCCGTCTTTAATAATTTTCGCATTCTTATTGAAAATTATTTTAAGACTAAAATATGCACGTTATATACTGATGGTGGCGGGGAATTTAAGTCTCTTACTCCTCTACTTGCTACACATGGCATTCAACATCTCATGTCTCCCCCGTATACTCCAGAACATGTTGGCACCGCTGAACGCAAACACCGCCATGTAGTAGAGACGGCACTCACTTTATTATTTCAGGCCGATGTTCCTCTTTATTACTGGCCTTATGCCTTTCAACATGCCACTTATCTTATAAACCGCATGCCTACCCCCACTCTCCAAAATATTAGTCCATATGAAAAATTGTTTAACCAACCACCTGATTATACTTCTCTAAAAGTATTTGGGTGTTTATGTTACCCATGGTTACGCCCCTACACCACCCACAAACTTCAACCTCGTTCACAACCATGTGTTTATTTAGGCTTTTCCAACTTATACCATGCTCACCATTGCCTAGACCCTAAAACCCGTAAAGTGTATACCACCCGTCATGTTTTATTCTTTGAGGATTTATTTCCCTACAAAAATAATTCTCCACCAAATAAAAATCACTATGACCAAACTCTCCGTACTTTTCTCACCAGGCAGCCTATTCAACCGCACACCGCACCAAACTCATCCTCCACTCATTTATCTCCTCAATTAATTCCTGTTAGCCAACCATCCTTATCCTCTTCTGCCAACTCAATGACTCCTAATTCTCCTCCCTCAATCGAGTTTCCAACTAATACCTCTTCCACCAATATATCCTCTCCCACTCATGATGAGTCACCCCTTTTATCTCAATCAAATAATTCTCACACCAACACGTACACTTCTCCTGACTCTTCCAATTCTTCCCAGTCATCTAGCACACCCATTAATTCCAACCCCCAACCAATTCCTTCAAGACCAGTTACTCGTTCCCAAAATAATGTATACAAACCAAATCCCAAATATCTCTTCCATGTCTCTATTCCCCCTGTCCCAACTACACACAAACAGGCCTCCCTTAGCCCTGAATGGCAAAAAGCCATGGATGACGAATATAAAGCACTCCTTCATAACCGTACTTGGTCCCTCGTTCCAGCTTCCCCCACACAAAATATTATTGGATGTAAATGGGTCTATCGGGTGAAACAAAACCCGGATGGTTCCTTGGCCCGTTACAAAGCACGCCTTGTTGCTAAAGGGTTCCATCAACGTCCGGGAGTTGATTTTACTGACACTTTCAGTCCGGTTGTTAAGCCGGCAACAGTCCGTCTTGTTCTAACCATTGCCGTCATGCACCGTTGGCCCATTCGCCAACTTGACGTCAATAATGCTTTTTTTGCAAGGGTCCCTATCTGAACAGGTATTTATGCAGCAGCCTCCCGGGTACGTTGACGCCACTGCTCCCACTCATGTATGTCTACTACAGAAAGCAATTTATGGTCTTCGTCAGGCCCCTAGAGCATGGTATTGTGAGCTAAAAAATTATCTTCTCGCAGTTGGGTTTCACAATAGTAAGTGTGACACGTCATTATTCATCTATACCTCCAAAGGAGTCACTCTTTATCTCTTGGTTTATGTGGACGACATTATTCTCACCGGCAATAGTCCTGAAGCTCTATCCTCCTGTATTACATCTCTTGCTCATCGGTTCTCTCTTAAGGATCTTGGACCTCTATCCTATTTTTTGGGTCTTGAAGCTACACGTACCCGTCATGGTCTCTTTCTCACTCAGCATAAGTATACTCGTGATCTCCTTCACCGTCTTCAAATGGACTCTGCCGCTCCCACACCAACTCCTATCTCTACCAGTGAATCTTTATCTCTTCATGATGGCTCCTCACTGTGTGATATTACCACCTACAGGAGTGCTCTTGGTGCTCTGCAATACCTCGCATTCACAAGACCGGATATTAGCTTTGCTGTCAACAAACTTGCTCAATTCATGCATCGTCCAACACTTAAACACTGGCAAGCTGTTAAGCGGATTCTTCGTTATCTCCAGGGCACTGCTCATTTTGGTATATTTCTATCCGCCTCTACACCTCTATCCCTTCATGCTTTCGCTGATGCCGATTGGGCAGGTGATCCGGACACCCGACACTCCACCTCCGCTTATGTTGTCTTCCTCGGTTGTAATCCCATCAGTTGGAGTTCCAAAAAACAGAATACAGTGGCGCGCTCATCCACAGAAGCTGAGTACCGCTCAGTCGCGTCTACTTCAGCTGAACTCACTTGGCTACGTCAACTTCTAGCTGAACTGAAGATCACTTTCAGTAACCCACCGACAGTCTTCTGTGATAACATCAGCGCTACATATGTCTGCTCACATCCCGTCTTTCATTCTCGCATGAAACACGTAGCTATCGACTTCCACTTTGTTCGTGAGCAGATTGCTAAGGGTCTACTTCGTGTCACTCATGTTCACACCAAAGACCAACTGGCTGATTCTCTCACAAAGCCCTTAGCCCGACAACTGTTTCTTCTTCATCGATTCAAGCTCGGTGTTCTTCCAAGACCGCCTCACTTGCGGGGGGATGATAGATAATATTAATAAGTAGATAATATTTCCTCTTAATGTATTTAATTAATATTATCACTTAGTAGTTTGAACTACCCTATTATAGTGGATCGGTCCCTTACGTAGTGGATCACAGTACCAACTTTAGCTTGTATAAATACTAGCTTGTACACTCTGTAAATCAATCAACACAGTTATATATACAAAGTTTTAATCCTGAGTTTGCGTATTCATATTGCTCACGTATAAACCATTCTTTAGTCTCTATGTTCAATAGTCGACAATATACAGATATCAGGATGATCAATATTAAATTTCTAATAGATCCAGTGCTCAACAAAAAACAAACCATGCTTAGTTGGAGCTGCCGATGCACCGACGACGGAAAGATCAAGATTAGAGTTGACGCCATGGGATCTACAACTCCTCCTAATGGCCTCCATCCGAAAGGGATCCTCTTCCCCAAACCCACCCCTCAACAACAACAAACCCTCTTCATCCACTCCTCATCATTAATTCATCACCTTAAAACATCGCTTTCCATCCCCTCAGTTTCTTTTCTCATCTTGCCGGCCATTTTGCTATGGACGAAGAGGATGAGAAGAATAACTCCTCATCTGCAATAATTCAGTTGTCCAGTTCGTAGAAGCCAAGGCCCCAGCAGACCGTGAGCAGCGAAAGGCGTGATCCCGTATGAATTAGACCTAAAGATGAAACAATTTACAAAAAAACCTGGTTGTATATATACACCCGGGTGTATAGTATAGGGACTCGAGACTCTCTTTTTGGATTTCTAATCGCATCCTAATTGGCCCTCTCTAGTACTCCATGTTAGTTAGTGGCAGTTGCAGAATTTTACCATTGCTAAATGAGGCGCGGGCATGAAATCCATAAACGGCGCCGTTTTAGTGGAACGCCTTAGCAAATTTTGCAAATTTTCGTTTGACAAGGCTCAGTCCAGTGATCTCGATAGGAAAAGAGAACAACAATGGTGCATAGCGCATACGACTCATTTACGCTCCTCAATGATTGCCCCACGAAAATTGATGCCGTCGAATCGTACGGTTCGAAGCTACTCATCGTCTGCTCGGATGGATCGCTCCGTGTTTACGCACCCGAATCAGCCGTCTCCGAACGCTCGACGCCGTCTGAATTCCTTCAACACTCCTCGGAGCTTCGCAAAGAACGCCACATCCTGGAACGGACTGTCAATGGATTCTCCAAGAAGACGATGCTGGCGATGGAGGTCATTGGGTCGCGGGAGCTCCTTCTATCGCTCTCCGAATCCATCGCCTTCCATCGGTTGCCCAATTTGGAGACGCTGGCCGTTATTACCAAAGCAAAAGGAGCGAATGTGTATTCCTGGGACGACAGACGGGGGTTCCTTTGCTTCGCCAGACAAAAGAGAGTTTGTATTTTCAGACACGACGGTAAAAGAAAAATTGAAGCATTCGTGAAATTCTAGCATTGCTTACTACTCTGTGTGTAAATGGTAAGAGTATTTGTCCGCAATTCTTACGCCTATCACTTATTTAGGAGGAAGGGGCTTCGTAGAGGTGAAAGAATTTGGGGTACCAGATACAGTTAAGTCAATGGCATGGTGTGGAGAGAACATTTGCTTAGGAATTAGAAGGGAATACATGATACTGAATACCACAAATGGATCAGTGTCTGAGGTGTTTCCTTCGGGGAGGACTGCCCCACCTCTTGTGGTGCCCCTTCCATCTGGAGAACTTCTTCTGGGAAAGGTAATTGTTGTAGCTATTACTTCATTTTATACTCTGTTTGTGTAGCAATGTGTTGCCGCATTAGTCCTTTGGCTTTTTCACATCTAAGGCCATGTAGTTCATAGATTCTCCAACCCACTAAATCTATCACTGAGTGGATTATTAATCATATGCAATGAGATTATTTTCCTTACAATTACAGTTATTACTTAAACTTGAGATAACTTAAAGCAATACCTCAGTATCAAATTTAGACGTGTGCTTACTGTTTAGTACTTAATAACTGTTTTTTCATGATGATGTGACCTTTGGCATGTTATTGATATATTACTGTAGGATAATATTGGAGTATTCGTAGACCAAAACGGTAAGCTTCTTCAGGATGGTAGGATATGTTGGTCAGAAGCTCCTGCCATAGTTGTTATTCAAAAGCCATATGCAATTGGTCTCCAACCAAGACACGTGGAGGTAGCTGAATTATTATCCTTGCAAAGATATGCTTTTTTCTCATTTATAAATTATGGTTAGAAAGTGGGTATGAACTTAGCTGTGTGCTATCTATGTGGATCTCAGATACGTTCTCTTCGATCTCCTTACCCGCTGATACAGACAGTTGCCCTACGAAATGTTCGCCGTCTTGTTCAAAGCAACAATTCTATAATTGTTGCTCTTGAGAACTCTGTTTTTGGACTCTTTCCTGTTCCTTTAGGTGCACAGGTATTTCTCCATCTCTGGTTTGGTGACAATTTATTCTGAATTCAAGAATGGATTCTTAAGTGCAAATGTATAATATTACATGAGTGTTCACTTGAATTTGTACCGGTACCGAACTTGCGGTCAAAGGTTTAAAAACACATACTGGAAACAATGATACTTTTCTATTTTCTATGTTCAGAGAATGTTATACAAAAAGAAAACATGTTGGAAACAATGCTACTTTTCTATGTTCCGAGAATGTTACCCAAAGTGCATCATCACAAGGTAAAAAGTGTTAGTAGGCTAAGTTGTACTCGAAGTGTTATCTAGTATTCTAGTCACAGAAAGTCTGCAGTTTTGCACGAGACTTATGTTTCTGATTACATGTGTATGAACAATTCTTCAACCTTTCTCTGAAAATGCTGAAGACATTAATTGCTTCAGAAATCAGATTATTTGATAAACTTATATTGCTTTAGAAAAATAGTGAAAACTCTTATTGCTTTAGAGCGTAGAAGGTTGGAGCTGAACGTGTGAACTTAAATGCCAAGTATTGAGGGAAAGAACTTTCATAAAGCATGACATTTCTAGCTAACAAACCCTGGAGGTTATGTCCGATATCAAAGTTGTGAAGTGATTATTACTGCAGAGACTAATGAGGGATCTGACTATAAAGTAATATTATGCTTCTTGTGCAGATTGTACAACTAACTGCATCTGGAAACTTCGAGGAGGCCTTGTCTCTGTGCAAGTTGCTTCCACCAGAAGATTCAAGCCTCAGAGCTGCGAAGGAACAATCAATTCATATAAGGCAATTTGCACTTTGTTCCACTTCAAATTTTCTATCATTCCGCTATTTTTATCTGGTTCTTTCATTCGTTGTAATTTCAAATATTCACTGGTGGATATTGATTCCAGTAGTTAGAGAGAAATAGAGTGTTTGGAGGAGAAATTGATTATAGTATTATGAGAGTAACGTAGTATCCTCCACATGAGTGCCATACTCCCTCAGCCTAGTGCACGCAAGGGAAAAGGGAGTTGACCACTTCAAAGTCTTGTTTCACGCTGAGCTCAAACGATGTTCATAAATTTGCTGACCACAGATTCCTCTTGTTGAAAGAGTCTCTCTAGTCGACCATCCTCGTGGAGTCATGGCATCAATTGGACCAGTGGATGCCTCATTAAAAAAAATTGATTGGGAAAACCCATTAGGTGAAAAACTAAACTGAGAAAAATATACAAACCAGCATTGTCAAATTGACCCTCTTGACATGCTAAACGTGCTGACCTGACATTTCTGGCATTCCATAGAGTGCGTGACTTCCCCTCTATTAGAGTCCTGCACTTATTGAGCCAAGAGCAGTCCTAGTGAGAGGGAGTAGAAAAAAAACTTAAAATTCTTTGTTTGTTTGATTTGCTTAAAATTTATGGTAGGCAATGTTCCTTGCAGATATGCACACTATTTGTTTGAAAACGGGAGCTATGAGGAGGCCATGGAGCATTTTTTGGCATCTCAAGTAGAAATTAATTATGTTCTTTCTTTATATCCATCTGTCTCTATTCCAAAATCGGCAGTAATACCTGAACCAGAGAAATTTGTGGACATGTCTGGGGATTATCCAGATCTCTCCAGAGGCTCATCTGGCATGTCGGATGATATGGAATCTACTACGCATATGTCGGAGTCTGAAGAGACAGATATTGAATCCAAAAAAATGAGCCATAATACTTTAATGGCTCTTATTAAGTTTCTGCAGAAAAAGAGATACAGCATCATCGAAAAAGCTACTGCTGAGGGAACTGAAGAGGTTGTTTCAGATGCCGTAGGGGATAATTATGTTCCATATGGCACTAGCCGATCTAAGAGAGCAAGCAAGGTAAATTTTAATTTACCCATTAGGGATTTTGAAATCTACAATATTCATGTATTGAATGTAGTTGGCTTTATATAATGCTTATGTACCACAGCTGAACAAATTTTGTTACTTTTGTCCCATGTGAGACAGTGAGAGCTTAGTGGCAAATGGACATATTTACTAACACTTGCCAAATGGTGACACATTCTTTTCCCCCCAAATAGTGCTTCTAACATATGATTAGAATCTATGTGTATCATGATTTTTCTCATTAGAAAATGGAAAAGTAGGTATTTATATTTTTCAAATTCAACAGCTCTGTTGTGGCTACTAGGATTCAATAGTTTATCTTGCATTTCACATGAAAAACAAAGCCTGTTTTTGTCTTCTCTTTTGGTTACTGGTCTTATCCAACATGTTTAGTAACTTGTATGGTGATGGTGATGATTAATTTCACCAATTCTTGGATTGCTTTATTTTAATCATCTTTTCATTCTCATTGAGATGAAATATATATAAGTATAGGAAAACGGGTCAAATACACCCGCGTACAATTATGAATCCATCATCTAGACTCCTATACTAAAAAAAGCATCACATGTTAGGGACCCGGCCCAATAGAGCATTATTAATAATAAGTGTACAAGTTGAGTATAAATAGAATAAGCTGGGGGGAGGTAGGGCAGGCGGTTTTGGACTTTGACTTTGGGACTTTGGGAAGATCGAGAACTTTTCTCTTTCTTTTGGGGGGCTTCGGCTCATTGGGGGCTTCGGCCAGTTCTTGTTACTATACTGTTTTGGTTCATCTCAATACAATTTCAGATTGATTCTTCATAGATTTCTGTGAATCTTCTGTAAACCTAGATAGTCTCTATCATTGGTATCAGAGCTTGCGATCGCTGGATGAGATACACGCGCGCCAAAATGGAAGCCAGAATGAATGAGGTGGAACGAAGCATGGTGGATATTGGAAGAAACCAAAGAGAATTGAACGATCAACTGGATCGGAGGATGAGAGAATTGCAGAGTATTATGGCGGATCAGCTGGTTGAGAAAATGGCCTCGTTCCAGACATCGATGCAGGCGACGTTGCAAGCGAATCTGGCGGAATTACAGAAAAACAACTCGAGCCGATCGCGAAGCCACTCGCATCGGTCACATACCTCTCATCGATCGACTACTATGCATCGCGAGAAACAGCATCGAAGGTCTAAGGACGAAGGCAGTTCCGATGGATCAAGTAGTTCGGCTGGTCAATCATCGTCACTCCACAGACGCGATCCCCGACGAAGGCAACAACATCATCAGCACACTGGAAGAAAAGTTGATTTGCCAATATTCAATGGCGATGATGCAGGAGGATGGTTACTAAGAATGAATCGTTATTTCCGACTGAATAACACTGAAGAAGAGGATAAGATTGATGTTGCAGTTGTGGCCATGGAAGACCAGGCCTTAAGCTGGTTTCAATGGTGGGAAGGGCAAGCACATCGACAAACCTGGGAATCATTTACAGCTGCGTTGACCAAACGTTTCCAACCAAACTTGGTGCAAGATCCTTTAGGACCTTTATTCAGTCTGAAACAAAAGGGGAGTGTGAAAGAATATAGAGATAAATTCGAGACAGCCATTGCTTCTCAGGGACACTTGACTGAAGAAGTATTGAAGGGAGTATTTATAAAAGGGTTGAAAAGGGATATAAGGGCTGAGTTGAAGCTACACACTACCAGGACTCTGGCTAAGGTCATGGACACAGCCTCTTTGATTGAAAACAAGAATAATGAAGTCTGGATCAAGAAGAATAAAGATGAAGGCAAGAAGAGGTGGTCAGGAAAAGCCGGGAATGAAGGTCAGCTTCAAAATGGGGGAGATAATAGTAGATGGAGGAGCAGTCCTATTACTACTACAAGTGCTGGCAAGATCATCAATGAAATTAAGCCCATGGATAAGGAGGAGGAATCAGCCAATTATGCTCACAAGAAGATAAGTCCCAGATTAACACAACATGAACTGCAGGAGATGAGTAGGAAAGGTTTATGTTTCAAGTGTGGGGAAAACTGGAACCGAGGGCATATCTGCAAAATGAAACACTACAAATTTGTTCTTGTGGAGGATTCTGGAGGAGAAAAAGAAACTGAATATGTCAGGAAGGATAACGAGGAGGAAGATGAAACCGAAATGGAATTCAGAACTCTGCAATTATCTCCAATAAGTAAGGAAGAGATTCCAAGCATGAAAACATTCAAGATGAAAGGAGAATTGAAGTGGAAATCTGAAAAAAAAAAGGTTGAAATCCTTATAGATACTGGTGCATCCCATAATTTCATTTCTCAAGAATTTGTGAGAAAATGGGAGTTACCCTACCGTATGATAAGAAGATACTCTGTACAGATAGGTAATGGAGGTCAAATCACCAACAATAGAATGTGTGAAGGGTTGGAATTGGAACTTCAAGGGCTGAAAATACAGCAACCTTACTATATGCTTGAGTGGAGGGGAACAGATATGGTGTTGGGCATGGACTGGCTTACAAGCTTGGGAGATACTGAGATTAACTTCCAAAATCAGACCATCAAAGTGGAGGTTCAGGGGCAGAAGGTAATCATACATGGAGATCCTTCATTCAGTCAACTGGGAATTTACAAGGAGATGAAGAGCCTGGTGAATAGGAATGGAGGAGGAAAATTGCTGAGCTATCAAGGGTTACCTACTGACATTGAAGAAGAGAGTGTTCAAAAGCAAGAAGTTGCTGCCCTCTATGTTGCAGCAGGATGCACCTTAGCCTCCAAAGAATCTGAAGGAATCAAAATTCTGGATAACGTAGTCTGGCATATGTATAACTCTACTGTGAAATACATAGGGAAAAAGATGGAAGCCGCAAAGCTAAAATTCCAGCAATCAATACAGTATTGGAAAGGGAGAGGTGCTAGGATAAAAGAAAAGAAGAGGATTATGGCTGTGTCCTATCTCCCACCTTGAGGGCAAGGTGGATGTTTAGGGGGGGAGATTTGTTAGGGACCCGGCCCAATAGAGCATTATTAATAATAAGTGTACAAGTTGAGTATAAATAGAATAAGCTGGGGGGAGGTAGGGCAGGCGGTTTTGGACTTTGACTTTGGGACTTTGGGAAGATCGAGAACTTTTCTCTTTCTTTTGGGGGGCTTCGGCTCATTGGGGGCTTCGGCCAGTTCTTGTTACTATACTGTTTTGGTTCATCTCAATACAATTTCAGATTGATTCTTCATAGATTTCTGTGAATCTTCTGTAAACCTAGATAGTCTCTATCATCACATAAACACTCATACTCTTAAAAAAGAGTCAAATAACTCAAATTACCGGAAGGTGACTTTTTCAACCGGTATTCTGATACTCCGTATTTTTTCTTTTGTCTTTTTTTTTCTTTACTTTTCTCTTTCTTTCTTGCATGTTCCATCTGCCTGGCCGGCGTCTTCCGCTTCTCCTTTTTTCGTTCTTATTACTTTGTACTTCGCATCTCCTTATTCTTCATTCCACATTTCTCTGGCGGCTTCTCCGGTGACGGGTGCCGGTGAAATAACCCCGGGATAGTGGGACATCAAGGTAACCCAGCCACCTTAATGGAGTTCTCTTTCTCCGGCAGCTTCTTCGGCGGCAGGTGTTTGTTCCCGTCTACAACCAGAGATCCTTTATTTTGATTATGAGCGGCTCTTCTTTGGCCACCGGCAGAGTTGGCACTCCCTACACTATATTTTGGATTCTACGTGATACCGGCGTACCACATAATATCTATCTATATATAATAACAAAAGGTTTCTTGGGGAAGACGTTCCCGCCAAAACCTTTCTTGCATAAGGTGTAGTGCATTTATCTTAGCTTAATACGATCGCAGTTTGTGAGATTAAAAAACACAATGATGGTTCTGCGAGCAGCCTTTTAACTTACAATGAAAGTTGAAGAATGGAGTAATTGAATGAATTGCACTGCTCAAGATACCTGCGGTGCAACTTTTAAAGCCAATAATAATAAAGAGTACCAACTAATGCACATAGAGCTCCGGCCCAGTGGGACCACTAGCTGTTTCACATGCAAATTCAATTTAGGTGTAATTTGAGTTTGCCCCCCATTTTATTGTGCAAATTGGACTTGGAACCCCGGTTTTAAAAATCTTTGTTTTTGCACCCCAACCCCATATGAAAAGACAAAAGTGCCCCTCCATTAACAATTTTGTTGACCTTCAACATATTCTTGATCGAGGACATTTTTGTCTTTTTATATGGGGTTGGGTGCAAAAACAAATATTTTAAAAAACGGGGTGCAAAGGTTCAATTTGAACAATAAAATGGGGTGCGAACTCAGATTACTCCTTAAATTTAATGTCTGATGTCTCTCTATATTAGTTCTTCAGTTTCTGTTTTATGCCTATTCGTATTATAAATTACTCCTTCCGTCCCCTTATAACTGTCTTATTTATTCATTTTTAGATGTCCCCCTATTATTGTCTCATACTCTCTCCGTCCATTTGAAGGTTCGTGTGGCAAAATGACACGATTATTAAGACAATAATTAAATATGCTAATTCAAGCATATTTTGAGAAATAATTTTGATGATTATATAATATAATGGGTTATTTATGATAACTGTGATTTTGTAAATTTTTTTAGTATTTGATGATTAAATTATCATTTAAGAGTGTTAATTGTTTCCTAAAATGGAAAGTGTGAACCTTTAAAGGTGGCCGGAGTGCCAAACACTTGGAAGGTTTCTTCAATATGCTCATCTTCTTTCAAGATAAAAGAAAATAACAGAGGGAAAAAAAGAACGACAGAAGATTTAAAAAAAAGAATATAAGGAAATGAAAGAGACTGGGAGATGGACGAAGCCTAGGAAAGAGAAGAAAAGGGAAAAAAACGGAAAATGAAAAAAAATCACAAATACCGGCAAAAAGGAGTCACTTTCCGGTTAATTGAGTTCTGTGACCTATTGTAAAGAGTAAAAGTACTTATGTGATGTTTTTTTAGTACATGGGTCTAGGTGATGGATTTACAATTGTATAAGGGTGTATTTGACCTTTTATGCATAAGTATATATACAGAAACACAACTCATTATTTATAAAAGTAATTACAACGTTTTGTATCTCAGGGCCGTGTAAGTACTCCTATCAGCTCAGTTGCTCGAGATATGGCAGCCATACTTGACACTGCATATCTCCAAGCACTTATGCTAACTGGACAGGCTTCAGCTGCATTGGATTTTCTGAGAGGCACTAACTACTGTGATGTAAAGATCTGTGAGGAATTCATGCAGAAAAGGAATCAGTATTTCGGTTTGCTAGAACTTTACAAAAACAATGGAATGCATTGTGAAGCACTTAAACTTCTTCATCAATTGGTGGAAGAGTCCATGTCAGATCAAGCACCAGCTGAGCTGTCACAGAAATTCAAGTCTGAGTTGATCATTGAATACCTAAAAGTATACACTTATTATGAACTGTTTTTTTTTTAGTTTTTTTTTGTGTAGTAATATGGAACCACTGGGCACTTATAGGTTTTCTTAAGCTGCCAGATTCTTGAATTATGTACTAGATGGTGCTTTTTTTTAAATGAGTTGATATTACACTGTTGAGGTCTTGAGGATAGAAAACAAGGTGACTTCTATCTGTTTATTTAATTTAATATTCTAATCTGATCATTATTTTATTTGGCAGCCTCTATGTGAGACAGACCCCATGCTTGTGTTGGAGTTCTCAATGGTGGTCCTTGAAAGTTGTCCAATGCAAACTATCGAGCTATTCTTGTCTGGGAACATTCCAGCAGATATGGTCAACTCTTACTTAAAGCAGCATGCTCCTAACTTGCAAGCTACATATTTGGAACTTATGCTTGCAATGAATGAAAACAGCATATCTGGAAATCTTCAGAATGAAATGGTAAAGGACTTTTTTTTCTTATTTATTGGGTCCTCCAGAGGGCCCATTCGGATTTTTGAACCCATAAAGTACTAGGGGAAAAGTGGCATGCAAAATTGATATAGTTCAGCTTCACTTTAGGCGTTTATTTACATTTTACATTATACAAACTAAGAAATCGTAGTACATATAAAATTTAGAAAATATTGATCTCATTTTTTTTTCATTTTTCAGAGTAAAACCAAATATGAGAAAATATCTTTCTGTGACTTTAAATTAATTCAAAATCGTGCTAATTAATTAACCCATTGTAGGTCCAAATCTATCTTTCAGAAGTTCTGGATTGGTATGCAGAACTTAATTCTCAGAAAAGCTGGGATGAGAAAAACTTTTCCCCCACTAGGAAAAAATTACTCTCTGCTCTGGAGAGTGTTTCTGGGTATAATCCAGAGATTTTACTGAAGCGACTTCCTCTAAATGCATTGTATGAGGAACATGCCATCCTGTTGGGAAAGATGAATCAGCATGAGCTTGCGTTATCCATTTATGTCCACAAGGTGATTTTTTTTCCTTCCCATCATCTGAACGTGATTTATATGCAATGTCAAATTTACCTTCCCTACTCTGAGCATGTATGAGTCTTTCTTTTTAATGTTTCAGCTTCATGTTCCGGAACTTGCCCTCTCCTATTGTGATCGAGTATATGAGCAAAACTCAGTGAAGTCTCCGAGCAATATATACCTTACGCTACTGCAGATCTATTTGAACCCTTCCAAGACAACAAAAAACTACGAAAACAGGATAACTAATCTGGCAACATCATCCCAGAGCCCTGGTATGCTTAGGCTTGGTCCAGGACCCACGGCTAAACTCATCAAAGGAAGCCGGTCCAAGAAAATAGCAGAGATTGAAGGTGCTGAGGACACTCGGATCAGTCAGAGTGGCACAGATAGTAGTAGGAGTGACGGTGATGTAGATGATGCTAGTGAGGAAGGGGTTTCTGCTATTATGCTTGATCAGGTACATGATCTGTTGGGGAAAAGGTGGGACCGCATCAATGGAGCTCAGGCCTTGAAACTCTTACCAAGGGAGACCAAGCTGGAGGTACTTATCATATTTTTACCAAGTGTCTTTTAATGTGAATAACTCAGAGACTGTACTAGTGTAAAATTACGGAATCTAACAGAAGCTGTGATATGAATACTTTGTTTGCGATTTTAAAAACTCGCTCGTTAGGGTATGTTTGGAACTCGGGATCCCATAATGTAAAAATGTTCATTACCTCAAGAGAGATTTCCCATAAAAACTGGAGTCCTGATTAATTTGCTTGTCCTAATATGTTTTGACATTGTATCCTATCTTGAATTTGTTTTTGACAATGTTCCAGAACCTACTTCCGTTTCTTGGTCCTCTTCTAAGAAGATCTAGTGAAGCATACCGAAACTTTTCAGTGATCAGGAGTTTGAGAGAGAGTGAAAACCTACAGGTATTTGTTTCCTATTTTCGGTATCAGCATTATGTCCTTTATGCTTGATTCACAAGTATTATGCTTTTTATCCAGCTCTTTCATATTTGTTGTCATCCGTTGTTTTCTGTGCAGTTATGTATTTGAACACCTTAAGGTAACACTATTTGCTTGTTTAGAAAGACTTTTGAAGCAACCATGGTTTGGTTGTGGGGCTTTTTATAAGCTCGAACTTATTTCATGAGTCATTTTAGTATCTTCCAAATAAGCTTTTGTAAGGTTTAGAGACTGTATAACCAGCCCATTTCGCCGAATTTTTTGGGTCCTTTTATTATGGGCCGCAAGTTTTTTCCTTTTGTGGCTAGGGTTTTACTCTCTTTAAATACCCGCTCTCTCATTGTAATCATTATCAGATAATAATAGTAACATCATGGCTTTGTAGCACCCCCAGACGTAGTCATTCTTGGCGAACTGAGTTACCAAACTCTTGTGTCTTTCTTATCGTTTTTGTATTGTGTGTGCGTTAAATTTTAACAGCTTTATGGGTTGTTCACCCTCGAGCATGTATTCAGTGCCACAAATCTAAATAAATTATGTAAGAACGAACAAATACTTGATCCAAATGGCGTGATTTGAAACTTGGATTGCGCACGTGGCAGCCAAATGGCATTCAGTGGCTAAAAGTTAGACTAATAAAACTAGGCTTAATGGGCTTAAGTTAGCTTTAGGCGCGCTCATGGTGCAATTTGAAGAAAAGGTCTGCATAGAGGTAGTAGAAAAAGTTCAGGGGCTTGAGATGTATTTGGCCTAATTTGCATGTAAAGTAAGTTTCAACATGATTAGTTGTTCATGGTTGTCCAACAGTTAAATTTTACAATGAGCAGGTAAAAGATGAACTGTATAACCAGAGGAAAGCAGTGGTGAAGATAACGGGTGAGAGCATGTGCTCCCTCTGCCACAAGAAGATAGGGACGAGCGTATTTGCAGTCTATCCAAACGGAAGGACAATTGTGCACTTCGTTTGTTTCAGGGACTCCCAGAACATGAAAGCTGTTTCCAGGGGTTCTTTATCCCGCAAGAGATGACTGCGCCAACTCCATTATAGGCTAGCAACCTTTGTCCCCCACCTGTTTTTTTTTAATTCACAAACAAGTTTTGTCCGGTATTTGTTTTATTGTTTTGTAAGTTTGTAACTTATAACTTGTAAGATTTTCCGACAAAAAAAATGATTTTTAGAGTTATTTGCGATTTTGAGATTAGTGTTTGGGCGAGTAAAATAATCTTGTAAAAAAGCAAAGAGAAGTGTATTAATTTGAGCATCATTTTCGGTATGGTAAATGACTCCCGGCATTTACCCCACTGATTTTGGTGGTTTGCCTTCCGGGATAAAAAAAATAAATAAATAAATTGAGCATCATTTTCGGTATATCACTTCAGTTGTGAAGGCTAACTTCTTCTAACTCTTCACTAGGTAATTGACTTGTACATTGCACCAATGACAAATGGAGTTGAGTTTGTCCATAAAACAATTTGTGACTTGTGTGTATTTTTTTTTTTAATAAAAATTGAGTATATGGTACGCATGATAAGATTGTGTTAGACGCATATATGTGGTAATGGTAAGAGACAGACTAATTAATACGGAGTATAAATTCACAAATAATCATTCTTCGGTTTTGTATTTTTTCTTAATATGAAGATGATAAGAATTAATTTACATGATTTATATTATTGAATAAATTAATGAATAAACATTATTCTTCGATCTTTGATTTTTTATATTTGAAATTTATGCTATTTAATTGTAAGTATGATAGCTATGATATACATGATTTAAATATCACTTAATTCATTTCTAGATAGGGAGATCACTGAATACCAAACATAAGTTTTCCCTATTATAATAGGATACCATACGAACTAATTAATTTTACACTCATCACAGCTATTTTTCAAAATATACTTTAAGGTTACTTGTAACATTACAGTTATGAAACCGAATATATAATACACTCATCAGAGCTATTTCTCAAATATACTTTAATTACCTTATTTAATTATTGTCTAAATGATTTTATCATTTTTCAATGAAACCGTTAAGCCAAGATGGATGTAGTAATATTTCATTTTTAAAAAATTATAGTGATCACAAAGACATTCCATTTTTAACCATCTCTAAGAAAATCAATACACTTAACTTTAAGGGGCGTTTGGAATTGATCCCGCTTCTGCTTCTTTTTTAAACAAAAGTAGAATCAGAATCAGTTTTCAGAAGCTGGTATCCCCCAACTTCTAAATATCTGATTCTAGGAGTAAATTAAAGCACCAGAATTACTTCTACACTTTCACCCATACATTCCAAGTTCTGCTTCTGAAAGAGCAGAAGCAGTTTTAAAATCATACCCAAACATCGTAAATAAAACATCGTGACTGTTTATAAATAATAAAATTTGACTTGATTGAGAATTCATTGTGCACACTAATGTGTGTTACTTGCTCATCTTATCGCAAAGATGGTACAATGAAATGTTACAAAATGTGTGCTTGAATCCTTGGTCTTGAGAGTTTTGACTTTTGAGCTTGGATAACCGCCTAAATAAGTAATTAATAATTACAAGCTATCAATAACACATTAATTAAAAATACAATAAATATAAACACAACAACTGAAAATTTGGAAACATAAGAAACAAGAATTCATTTAGGCATATGAAATGTTTTTTGTGAAAATCAAATAACTAATTTATTCATTAAATGATAACAAAAATACAAGATGAATAACCTAAGACTACAATAGGATGAGACATATAACGAAAAAGATCCAATGAATCCTTCCAGATCGCTAACCTCACAATAATGTGGTCTAGTCTAACAATCTTGGTGCTCCAAAATGAAAAATAAAAAATTTTAGAGGCCGTTTGGAGCACCCCAAAATGGGCTGATAAGCCTGAAACTACTAAAAAATCACCAAACACATCAAGAACTAGCTGTTTGAGCTGAATTTTATGATCAGCACAAAAAGTAGCAATATGGTTACTTCTTCGGCTGTTTTGTATTATTCTACTGTAGCAAATCTAAAAGACCTTCTACCCTTCTATATTGCTGCTTAGTGCTTATAGTTCTGATCGAAGAGATTGAAGCAGATGAATAATACTTCCTGTTCACGTTGCTTCAATAAATACTTCGTTCTTTTTTTTTTGTTAATTCAAGGCATGTGAACTCTTTAATTAATGCTCCGTATGCTTTTTTTAAAATTAATGCACTCATATTATTTACAAAAAATTATGATAATGTTGTTCATTCCAAAAAAATTGTGTAAAAAATACGAAGTAATAAGTCATTCAAAGAATCTTATAATTACCTAATCAAGCAAAAGTAGTTTATTAGTAAAATTCACACCCATATATTTAACACAAATAAGCTAATACCCTTTATAGTAATTTTACACACAATCAGTCATTCCAGCCAATATATTACCAAACACTTTCACTTCAGTCTTTTCAGGCTTTTCAGGCTTTTCAGCCATTCCAGCCAATGCAGCTGTCACCAAATAGACCCTTAACTAAAAGATCTAGCTTCACTAGCCACTGCACCAGAAAGAGAAAAAATGGTTTGACCATCAACCAATTCAGCAAATAAAACTCAATTGAGCAGAAGTTGGCCGAATCATCAGGTTGATCAGCCATCGAAAAGAAGATCCACTTGAGAGCTATCTTTTTCTTAGAGTGGGGTGCTGGTTCAGGAGGAAGATGAGTAGTTGAAACTTCAGAAGAATTAGGTTAAATCTGTTTTGATAACAATGAATAATGAATCACTCGATCAATTACACCTATGAGGATGACACAATCTCTAGACACTGCTAGGAGAAGAATGAAACTCACGCTCACTTGAAGTGGGCATAATTCTCGGTCATAGAAGTAGTCAGACCAAAACCAAAATTCCAAAATGTAGAAATCTACCTCTATATAAAAAGAGGTGGAAAATCAGCTCATTTTTCCCGCTCAAAAATGTCTCAATCGTGGTCAATAGTTGGTCAATCAATTCCACTGGAAAGTCCAGAGGTTCATAACGTGTGGAGTCACGGGTAGTCTTTGAAAGGTGTGCTAGGTAAGTAGGTAGTACTTGGTTTTCCCGAATAAATCAAAATAAACTCCATAGTCCATACAGCATTACAGCCCACATCTAGATGGTGCATGGAGGAGGAAATCGCCGAGGCTCTGCTAGGTATTCCAACCTGTACTTGGCAGCTCGAGGAAACCGTCGATTTCATCTAGATGGCATGGAGGAGTCAAAACATCCGTCATATTGACTCTTACCAAAACATTGGGCATGGAGATGGCAAAGCATCCGCCATGGAGGGCCATAGAAGGTGGCGACCGCACAGGCCGATCGAGACCAGGTACCTCAACAACCGCCTTTCCGATCTTGGGGAAAGGGACGGCGGACACGGTGCTTTCCTTTTCAACAACGGTAGCCAGCAGAGAGATGAGGCTAAAATTAACGGAGCTGGGAGGAAACCAGTAAAATCGAGCGGAGGTAGTTCCAAGGAGGGGGGAGGAAGAGGCCGGTGAGGTGAGTAGCGGACTGACAGCCTCTCCATAAGACGGAGAAGGTTTCTTCAGGTTTGGCTTGGGGCTTCTGGTGTCAAGGTACGGCCATAATAATTTGAGCTTGGCAGCTATAATCATAATCCACTCTTTATAAGATTCCTTAAATTCCTTAATATATGTTCAAATCGTAAATTCCAACCAATTGATGAAAACTTAGCAGAAGACAAAGAAGATGTACTGCAAGAAGATGAAGGAAATTCAGATGCAGGGGAAGATGATGATGTACTTGATCCGGGAAAAAAGCTTCAGTTGGATTTCAAAATTCCGAACTCAAAGGTAACATGGACCTGAAGGTTTTGGGCTCGGGGCGAAGATGCCGTCGGCAGGAGCAGGAAGAGGAAAAGTAACAAGGTTAATATACCTTTCTAGAAAATTTATATGGAATTAATATGGCTAAAGAAGCAGCTCTTACAGTTAAATTGGCTTATCACTTCTCTCAGGCTGAAGTGGCATGCTTGAAGCCAATAAAGTTCCTTATGATTATTTTATGATAGCATTGCTTTTTGAGTTTGCACCCATAATGACCTCTCATTCAAACCTTTTTTAAACATCAAAGAAATTTTAGTCAAGCAGCACAAAGCTCTATTTTCCAATATGCTTGCTCTTTATAAATTCAAAAAAAAAGAATATTCCTAACTGAAGTTTTGATAAATACGTATAGTAGAGAGATTTTTTCCGGTACGGTTATTCTTTATAAGTTAAACTCCCAGGGTTCTAGGAACCCAAACTTTCTATCGAACCTTTAGCCAGTACTCATAAAGTAGTATAGCAGAGAGGTTTTTTAAAATAAAGAACTCAATTATGGAGAGTTTTAGGTAAGGGCCAAAGGGGGGTGATGAGATTAAAGCTTAATACTTGATTTTTCATTGATTCATTTGTAGTTTGGTTATGACTCTAAACATAGTTCTTACTTTTATTTTTAAAAAATTTCTCAAGATGAAATATTTGCTAACCTAATGAAATAATGATGTTAGGAAGTATTATCACTTTTGTGAACACCTTGAATATATATAACTATTGGATTGGCTCTGTTTCTCAAAAGAATGAGTTGAAATAACCTCCTTTCTTATGCCTTTTCACATGTATAAGCGCACCTATTTCTATCAAACACTCCTAATACCTAATATTGTAGATTTCGTGTTTTATCTCCTAGCTCTTTCTTTACCAGCTTTTAGTTATTCTACTGTTTAAGCTAGCTTAGAGACAAGCTGAGAACAAACTGTTGTTGGTATAGTGACCTAACCTAATCACCTAATATGTGCCTTTGAATTCAGGAGCTTAGAGACAGAGGTTATGTTATCTACTCCACCTCATCTCATAAAGCAGTCACTAAACCCAAAATCATACTGCAGACAAGGAGATACAAGTGTCGAGGGGTGCATAACGCCAATATGCCAATGATCAGCTCTAACAAATAAAATGAATTATTAGGTATTAACTATTAATAATAGCTCAAATCGTTACTTCAATAAAAACTATTAAGAATAGCACTTTTGGTTAATGATGTGATAGGTGGTATTGGCTGCATTTTATATATGACCAGGATTTTGCTAGAACTATCATTTGCCAGGATTTGGATGCTGCAGCAAGAGTTGCAGATATTAATTGATATGTATGTGGCAGGAATGAGTAGGATTTCTTGATGCAATTTTACACATGTCAGAAAAATATTAGGCTTTTTTATAAACCATATCCAAGGGGAAATCTCATTTGCAGATCCTGCGAGATATCCAAATGAAGTTCAGAACATTGGTTAAGAGGCGAAGAGCAGGTTGAGGTGTTACAAAAGAAATTGAAGATGAGGTACGAGGCACAATGGAAGTACTTTGAAGCAATATCAGAGAAAGCACAGAAGAGTCTATCGGTAGACACGATCAATTCCCCAAACAGTGTACAAGAAATTAAAGCTCTTCGGCATAACAGGTTCAACTCCTCTGACAATCTTCTAGAAAACGTTAATGGACAAACCAACGTTAAATGCACCTTGAAAAACATCGATGGTAACACACCACTCCACTTTCTTAGGGGAACCGAGTAAGGTGTAAAGAGGGATGCACGTTAATATATGTGGAGTTTCAATGAATTTGGATTTAGAATCATTTTTATAGGCTGATCCGGATCTTTATACTTTAATTTACAAAGACTAAAGGCTTAACCTTGATACCTTGCCACGCCTCACGTCTTTTAGAACATCGGACGGAGGGAATATATATGTGTGTATGTGTGTCTGTGTGTTTCTTTCATAGTTTCTTTTATAACAGATTATAACTTCTTTCACTACTAAGATAAACCAATAGTCAAAAATAATTGATGCTTAATTTTGATCCGTGCATCGCACGGGTGAAAATCTAGTACAAAAAAAAGAGCAGTAACATAAAATACCTTTCACTCCTTATTACCCAGATATTGTTACCAATCGGAGAAGAAAGCGAGGAGATTAGATTCATCCCCCTAGGGTTTCCTATCGTCATCTCTAGCCCTCAAATGTTTGAATCAATATGTATTACTCGAGAACAATTTTGTTCACCTCCTCAAAAGAGGGTGAACATCACCCCCACCCTATTGGCCTGCCACATGACATGTAATTGTTTAAACTCTTACAATTGTAATAACTTTTTCATTTTTGATTCAATTTTTTTCGAAAATTATGTCTATACTTTTTGTTTTTTATGATCTTTCATATGATACAAATATTGAATATGTAAAATTAAAAAAAAAAAATCGACTAAAAATAGATTTGGAGAAAAAAAAAACTTTTTTTCAATTTTTTTATATTCAATATGGATACCATTGGGAAGATAACAAAAAATTATTAGATCTGCTATTATTTTTTTGTTGTGAAAATCAGATTATAAATAAAAAAAGTTATAATAATTTTAAGAGAAAAGATAATTGCAGTGCCAAATGGCATTGATTGTATGGAGAGAGTGATGTTCACCCTCCTTACACAATGTGCACGGGACACATGTGATATGAGAGAGAGAAATACAAAAAATTGAATTTATGACATTTCTCTCTCATTCTTTCCACGGTTTTATGTGTTTTTGGTATGTTTTCCTCTGCAATGTCAAGCACAATGTCTACATCTTGACATTTTGTTGACATTGTGAAGAAAAACTTACCAAAATGATACAAGATTCTTCAAATAAGGAGAGAGATATTCTATTTATTATTTTTTAATTAGCTACCTCTCATGACACGTATGCATCGTTCACATTTTAGCATTGGAAGTGCTCTTAGAGGGGGTGAACAAAATCAGACTCTTATTATTCGCTCCGTCACAAAAGATACTTCTCACTTTGACTTGGCACGCATATTTAGAAATTGAGAATAAAGTGAAAATGTATGATTCTGATTTTGTAAGAAAAAGTAAATGAATGTGACCCAACAACTTTTTTCAAAAATAGTAAGTGGGAAGAGTTTTTGGGACACCAAAATTAAGTTGAAAGTTTTTATGAAATGGGAGAATATTTCTTTAATTAATTGGTAATGCTACTCATGAATTGTGGACGGAATTTTGGAATAGCGCATCTTTGATTAATTTGAGGATGCTGACTTATTTGCACTTTCAAGTTTCCATGCCGCGTTAAAAATATGAGATTCGTGATGACTATCTTGCCACCATATTTTCCGCCTGGATGATTACGTAACTGAGTGCGTCAGTGCACCAAGCGCAATGACAACTTAGAAATGTTTATAAAGTACAATTACACTATTCTATTTTCTCCGTTCTTAAATAAATGCAATGATCAATATTTCATATTTGTCGAGACACAACTTTTATCATTAATATAAATGATTTTGTATTAGTAAAAAAATTTAAAAAATTAAATTATGAAAATTTACAATGAAACAAGTTTAGCAATATTTTTTTTCATAAAATAATATTATTAAATTAATAAATAAAACGTAGTCAAATTAGAACGTGTGAATAGTGTAAAAGTCAAAGTGTTGCATTTATTTAAGAACGGAGGTAGTATAATTTATCTTAGTCGAAGCAGACATTCACTTTATGAGTTTATGGTACAAACTCCATCCCATTTAAAGTTCTCACGCGGTTTACGATGTTTGAATGATCATTAAAATAACTAATCCTTGTTTATAATAAGATTATTTGTAGTAATTAAAATTGACATATTCAGAAACTACATTAAAAGTTTTATAATACCCGATCAAGAAAAATCAAATTTGATAAAAATTGATTAGATAAAGTAAAAGATTAAGAACAATTCACATTGACAGTGGAATAGTGATCGAGAAAATATAGAAGTATCCATTTTCACATAACTAACTATTTATCGTGCAAAATTTAATAGGGTAACTGTTGAGAATATTTTTAAGTAAACATATTGTAAACCCATGCATGTACATAATGGAAATGAAAACCAATATTGCATGTCTCTTAATTAATATTATTACCATTTTGCGTAGTATAAATTATAAGATGATAGTAATAGTTATTACGGAGTATATTAATTACACCAAAACAACTAAGTTTGTTATAAGAGTGTATATATTTAGTAATTCTGCTTTACCTAGTATATTATCAACATTTTATTGTACTTCAATTCGTATATGTACAAATTTTGCACATATTAAATACGAGAGGAAACTTCATGTCGAGCCGGTCTGACGCGAACCGCCGTCCGGTCGAGGCATTTCAGGCACTTCTCGGTGGAATTTTCTTTTGAAATTTGTTGAGCACGTTGTTAATCAAGTCTGATTTATTCATACCAAATGTCAGCTAAAAAATCAATCGGGAAGGCAGTCAAATAATTTTTGTAATATAACTGCGCTATTTATACACACACACACACACACACAAAGCGTAGTTATCTTTCAATTTTTTTTATTGCCTTCCCGATTGAATTTTTATCTGAAATTTGGTATGCATAAACTAGATTGGATGAATATTAGAATATGTAAATTTCATGGATCCGGAGCCTCTACCTTACTATAGAGTAAGGTAGAGTGTCTTGCTTCTTCGGAATCGTTCGATCAATAATTCAATGGTCGGAGATCTTGGACTCCACTTTTTCGTCTGATGCGCAAGGCACCGTCGTAGTTGGGAGAGGATCCCATCCAATTAAATACGAACAAGAATATGTTTAGTTTATCATTAGTCAAACCTTGTAAACTACGATAAAGCATGAAATTAGGACGTAGGGATCAATAGGTATATACTACCTCCATCCCAAATTGAGTTGCAACTTTGACTTTTCTTAGTCTAGGTTCGTTTTGTTCGCTTAATTAGGATGCCAATTTTTTATTATATTCCAATTTGGAGTTTACAACTTTGAAGAGATTTCAATGTAGTTTATGAATCTGTAAATTTTTATTATTAAAAATTGAATTAATTATCGGTTTGATTTTTATTATTGGTTGACCAAAAAATGTTGACTTTGCAAAACAATTTGGGACGGAGGGAGGGAGTAGATAATAGATAGGTATGGCCTACTGGCCTAGTATATATAGAGATGGCCCGGCTCAACACATTGGTACTCCATCCATCACATCCCAATTCCAATTAGTGGCAATAGTTAATTATTATACCAAATTCCAAAGTAAAATAATGATGGCGCTTCCCAGCAGCAGCTTGCTCGGGTTTTTGTTTGCAGCGGCCGCCGCCGCCTGTGCGGCGAGGGCGCAGAATGCGACGTGGGGCACCGAGGACAGCGCTATAATGGAGCAGCTGAGAGCAAGCGTGAAGTGGTTGCCGGGGGTCCAACCCGATCCAGTGAATGCCTCGTCCGGTCCCTGCAACTGGACCAGTGATCTCGTGACCTGCGATGAAGAAGGCAGGGTTTATACGATAACGCTGGGGAATATTGATATTAGCGGCGGCACTGTGCCTCCCACCAACCAAAACGACCTCCCCAACTTAGGCTACTTCGACGTCCCCCACTGCAACCTTGAAGGCGTGATTCCCAACTTTACCGGCTCGCCGCAGCTCCATTCACTGGTGGTTGGCGAAAACGGGTTCAGCTCGATCGCGCCCGGCCTGTTCGACTCCAAGACTGAGCTCCAATTTGTTGAAATGGACGACAATGACCGGCTGGAACCATGGCAGCTCCCTGAAGGTCTTAAGAGCTCTTCAAAACTCTCGTCTTTCTCTGCCGCTGGTTGTAACATCCAAGGGCCCCTCCCACCCTTCTTCAACGTCAGCTTGGTGGGTCTTTACCTGTCGAACAACAATTTGTCCGGCGACATCTCTGCGTTACAGAACTTGACTGGACTCCAACAAATCGAACTGCAACACAACCAGTTATCTGGCAAAATACCCGACTTATCCAGCCTCAAATGGTTGGAGTATCTCTACCTCAATAATAATAACCTGACCGGTCCTATCCCCGAAAGCCTTACAACTTTGCCCTATCTTGTGAAGCTGGACCTTTCAAATAATCAGCTCGCCGGCCCTCTCCCTGCATTTCCCAGTGGTGTGACTGTTGTGATATGCGGAAACCCGGGTTTCGATCCATGCTAGGTTTCTCCGTTGACTCGTTTGTTTGTGATTTTTTCATTTTGCATGGATCGAAACCCGGGTTCCGAGCTTTGTCCGTTGGGGCGAGCATGTGTCTGTTTTTAAATTACTCCCGATATGAAACTAAGGTTGTTATACATGCTATATATACATTGTGACATAAGGAGTATACATGGGGGCGGTTGTGCAACCCTTTCTATAATGCATCTTTACACTATACTCCGTATATACTATATATTGAGTTTGAAAGTGTTGCATATTATTATGCGAAGAAATAAAAGTTGTGCACTAACGTTTCAAAAAGTTACATCATAAAAAAGCTTTGTTTAATTACTAAATAAACAATCGGATGTCTTGTTGGAGATTCAAAATGATCGATGAAAAAGTTCTTGAATGTGTGTTGAAAGACATGCAATGCTTGGTTACACCATTTGAGGTTAGGATATCTTGTGAGATAGAATAATAGGGAAGCTTGTCAATGTGGTAGTTCTAGATGTCATATATATATAATAAAAGGTGTTCTGAGTACATTAAGAATTAAAACATAAGAAATATGGAAACCTAATTAAAGTATTAATTATTCTATTACATCCCCTCAAGCTGTGCTGGGGAAACAATGGCTGATTGTCCCTAAGAAATATAAAACGCTGTGGAGACAAACACTTAGTAAATATATCTGCAAGCTAAAATTGCGTAGGAAAGTACATAGCGAACGGACAGATCTCCATGAGCGACTCTCTCACGAACAAAATGATAATCAATACTGATGTGTTTGCCACGAGCATGCTGAATAGGATTTGTAGATAAATAAGAAGCTGAAACATTATCACACAGACCCTAAGAAAAAAATCAATCAATATTAGTAAATTATATCAATGTATTTTCTATAATAATAAAGTCATTAAAAATGAAAAAACAAATATTTTAACTCATTCAAATCAACAAACATTAAGTGGTCACTTTGATTATTAATATTCTCGTTTTAATCACTATTCTCATTCTAAAAAAATTGTTTATCATTGCCAATAACGGTGAGCGATTTTATACCCAAAACTCTTCTCAATTTCCTCTTTTCTTTATATATACCATAAATCTTTGGTTTACCCGTCATGACAATCCTAACACGGAGTTTGTATATACTTCGTACATATTAAAAAATCACAAACAAATGAGTCAACGGAGAATTGAAGCTAGCTATAGTTTATTTACAAATAAAATTATTACTAACAATCTTATAAATAAATAAAATATATACATTTCTACTAGTCTTCTACCATCAAACAAGTAAAAATTACTTCAAAAATATACTATGTACTAGCTACAAACAGAAGTATTTCGAGTATTTATAATTTATAGAATATCGATCAATATACAAAATTACTTAAATTACCAACTTGAAGCAATATCTCAATATTAACTCAATAAGCTTTAATAATTAGTCCTACCACAAATCTTTGTTCCTTATTCCCTCTCAACTTCACTGAGTCAGTGCGCACTAGGAATTGGGAATATGAAGGGAATAGATGTTTCGGTGTTTGCGGTTTATTTTTGGGACTTAGGAGAATGGAAGTGCATATGGCTAGATCTTTCATCAATTTCTAATTCTAATTATTCATAATACAAGTATTTTTATTTTTTGAGGCCCCTAGAAATGTGAGGCCCTAGGCACAAGCCTGGCCTAACTGGGGTTATAGCCGGCTCTGCACACAGAAGCCTTAGTGGCTCGTGAATAGGGTACCCCAGTTCGAACAAGATGGAATGGATGTGTCGAGTATCTTGAACAGTGTAGGCAATGGCACAATATTCAGCTTCTGTGGAGGAGCGAGAGATAGTAGGCTGCTTTTTAGACTTCCAAGAGACTAAATTCGGCCCCAGAAAAATAGCAAAGCCAGAGGTGGATCCACTGCTATGGGGGCATCCTGCCTAGTCTGCATCCGAATAAGCCTGTAAAGTAGGAGAAGCTGAGTTCGGCTGAAGTAGCAGGCCATGGCCGATGGTTTCCTTGAAGATATCTGAAAATATGCTTAACAGCCAAAAGATGAGATGTACGAGGTGCATGCATGAATTGAGAAACCAGGTGAATAGCAAATGTAATATCAGGTCTAGTCATGGTCAAATACTGCAATGCACCTACATACCATACTTCTATACTCAGTATGATCTGCAAGAAGCTCCCCATCAGTGTGAGAGAGTTTAGTTCGCATAGGAAGAGGAGTACGAACAGGCTTGAGAGTGTGAAGGTGAAACCTGGTGAGAAGATCAGACACATATTTTTGCTATCATTACAAGAAAAAGGACTTTTAACGACCACCATATAACGACAACACTATAATATTGTCGTTAAAAGTATCTTTTAACAATAATTAACAAATTGGTCGTTATTGAATTTTATTTTAACGACCATAATAAAAAGTTATTGTAATTAACTAATGCACAATCATCGTTACTGCCAATCACTTTGTTTTCCAATATACTACTCCGTATGCATTATTTTAAAAAATTAAATCACAAAAACCAATCCATTCAAATAACCATAATTATATTAAAAATTCAGTATTGCCGCCTAAATTTTCAACTCTGTTTTCGTTCCCTCAAAGTATAATAATACTATAAACCCTAAGCGCTCGATTGCCGCCTAAATTTTCAACTCTGTTTTCGTTCCCTCAAAGTATAAACCCTAAGCGCTCGATCTCCGATTCTCCGTCTTCCAAATCAAACTTACTTGCCGCTTAAAGGAGTCCTAAGGATTGAACTTGTTATGGCTTGATGATTCTTGTGGGTCAATCATTCATCGCTCTCAATCTTTCGTCTCGTTCGATCGCTAAGCTCCCTCATCGCTTGATTTCCTAAAGATTCCCCACTTGGCCACTTCCCCTCACTCAGTTGTTGATTTTTTCCGCTCGTTCGATTGGATTGGTAAGCTTTCATCTAGCTCGATTGCCGAAACTTTTCTCTCGCTCGACTGCTGAAAGATTCCTCTTTCTCGATTGCGGAAAGTTGCCGAAAGTATCCTCTCGTTGTTATTTTCCGAAAAGGGTTTCCTTAATATTATCGTTCGATTGCTCATTCTTCTTGTCCTGGTAACTTTTATCTTCAACATTTATTACATCTTTCAGCAATCTAGATGATTTTTGTATAAATTTATTAAATAAATAGCTATGTCGTTGATTTGTTTGTCTGATTTGTTGTGCTGAATCACTGAGAGTTTTAATCTTTACATTCGATGTTTTCCGAAACGTATGAATTGCTAAACTTTCTCCATAAAAGTATTATAATTATTATTGTACATTAAAAAAATGAAAATCAGTTGATTAGTACACTTGAAATGTTATCAGTGATGCTAAAGTGATATTTACAGTTAAATTACAGTCAATTAAGTATTATATCTGATTTAAAAAGTTCAAATCTGGAGTTTGAAGAGTTCTAGGAGATACAAAGTACATACGAAGTATGAGATACACAAACTTTTTAAAAGCTATAAAAACTAACATAAGTTTAAGTTACTGACTTAAGAAAGTATCAGGTCTTAGCCATGTATGCTACACACAAATTTAAGTACCCAAATAAGCAAAGTTTAAGTACACTTATGCTAAGCTACACCATGCACATAAGCTACTGAGATACTGACTTAATTAGTTAACATGCAAAGGTTTAGCACAGCTTTAACTTTAGCCTGAAGAAAATTAAAGCTAAACACAAATTAAATATATCATTTAACCTGCAGATATAAAGATTATACTTATGTGTGTATCTTAAATGGTAAAAAGTCATTTCTTGGTGTAAAAATTAGATATATTACCTATTAGAAATTAAGTTTTATACTTATGTTGTTATGTACTTATGTTCATTATATACCACTAGGTGTAAAATATACTCCATATTTTTACTATAATCTGCCAAAAATGGAATAAGAAAAAGTGAGCACCTACTAAAACTAGATATGGGATGCAGTTTCCATAGCTAAAACAGACTGTTTAACGCAGTAAACTGGATTCTTTAAAAACTGTTTTCTATTTACATCAATAGTATTGTACTATCTAAACAGGTTGTAAATTGAACAGGTTGTATTGATTAGTGTGTTTTATGCGTATTGCTTTGAGAACATAAGGCTTCTTTGTGGATATCACTTAGATTGAGAGTGCTGTGTTAAAGGAGCAGGTGAACCACGTACACTTGTGATTTCCTTAATTTTTCTTTTTCATTGTTCATTGCTAAATTTTATTATTTTTCTATTTAACCATATGCAGTCTGTTTGATTGGAAGTCCACCAGCATACCATATGGACCAAGGATCCGAGGCAGGAATTAATAATTGGGTAATCCATCTTGACTCTTGAGGTTGTACTCACTTATTATTATGACATTTTTATAGAACTTAACTCATAATCCCAAATTCTTATAAACTCACATGTCTTATTTCGTTATGGAATATTTAACAATTTTAGTATCTCGATGGTGTATGCGTTTCATCTATATTTGGAGTTTCATACACGAGTGTGGTGCAATTTTAGCATCTCAATGGTGTATGTGTTTCATCTATATTTGCAGTTTCAGGCAGTAACGTGGGGTATGTGAAACCATGCTTCGTGTTTAATCACCAGTTCATCATGATCTCCTTGTTTCAGGTAATTTCGATCTGTACTCTTTAATGTCCTAATCTGGTGTTGTGTTTTTTTATGTAATCTTTTGTGTTCTCTGGTGTTAATCTTTGAAATTGCTACATATATCTGTATTGAATCTATCCAATCGATGGTTCGCTGCAATGCTGCATAAATGAACTTTAAAACTTGCTTTCAGAATATATTTATATGGGGGGTAATTGTTTTTGGGTTTGTGAGGGTTTATTTTCCGAGTTTTTTGTTTGGATGATATAAGTAAATTATAGAGAGAGTAGAGAGACAAATATGGTAATGCTTAAATACACTGATTTCAGTAGCAAGTATATCCATTTTTTATTTGATGTTGTTTGCATCATTTATAACACGTATTTGTTTTGAATTTTATCTGGGATGATATTTTGAGAATTACTGATTATTTTGCTTCAAACAAAATTGAAATTAAATTTTAATCAGCACGATCAATTCTAGCAAGCCTTAAGTTTAGGCCTTGAAATAAAATACCATCATTTAGAAGCCTGAAAAGTTTAGGCCCTGAACTAAAATACCATCATTTTTTGTTACATCAATTCAAAGAATGATGTTTACACTTTACTATTATGAGGGATTTACGTGTAGTTATGAGTAGATCAACTAATGGTGAAGATTATATTGAATAGACTTTTT